CCAATCGATCAGGGCCACAGAATAGACTCTGGAGCTGAACTGACCCCAAATACTAGTTGAAACAAATATTTAAAGCACAAGACCCACTAACATTGGTTGCCAGGTTACAGTTACAATTTTCACCCATCAGGATTTAGAGATTAGGGACTTCCTTGAATGTTCCTTCATTGTCAATCAACATACAATGCAAGCTTTTCAGGCCAATCAATCAGATTCATTTCTTTTTTTCTGTTGTTGGGAACAGTCATAATGTTTTTAGAGAACTAAACACACATAATGACTCTTTCTATGGTTTTTAGCGAGGAGGTGGGTCAGCTATCAGAAGGCTCCCAGCTCTCCTACAGGCAAAATGGAGTCTGAAGTTAAAATGGCAGCACTTAGGACAAGGAGATTTTGCCTGTTTCCAATGGGCCCACCCTACCCCATCTAGGACCCGCTGGAGCTCATGAAAGGTCTGGTTCTATAGAATGGTGCCTGCAGGATCTCCATGACTTTGGGTAGTCTTGTGATATCAGGGAAGAGTTTCAGTGAGCATGGTAGTGATGGTGTACCAGAAATCAAAGATCTTGAACTGGACCAATGACTCACTGCAATGAACATTTGCAAATAAAGCTGATTGAACAAAAGGTTTTACTGTGTGGCACACCTCGGCTTCCAATGCCACCAGGACAAATGAAGAGGTGTTAGGGGAGGGAAAGTTGGAGGCATGAAGAGGGTTTTTTGTTTGTTTCTTGTTTTGATCTGATTTTTGAAAAGTTTTCTTTGGGGAAGGGTGCTGCAGGGGTGAGGAGAAACTATGGAGGGACTGGGAGGTGAGTGGAATTAGGATGTATGATGTGCAGTTCCCAAAGATTCAGTAAAGAAATTATGTTAAATAAAAAATGATATCTTGAAATTTGCAGGAAAACGGATAGAACTAGAAAAAAAAAAGTCCTGAATGAGGTAACCCAGACCCAGAAATACAAACATGGCATGTACCCACTCATAAGGGATTTTAGCTGTTGAAAGATGGTCATGTTGTGGTCCACAGACCCAGAGAGGCTAAGTAACAAGGAGGGCTTAGGTGGGGATGAAAGACTCCCCTGGGGAAGGGGAAACAGAATAGATTTTTCAAGGTGGACTGGGGGAAGGTGAAGTTGGGAACAGGGAGGATCAACTGTAGGGGAGATACTGGAAGAAACAACTGAAATTGGGGGTATTTATGGTACAAGGTGGAAACAGTGTAATGGAGGTTCCATGGAATCTTCGAGAGTATCCTAGCAAAGACTCCTAGTAATGGGAACAACTGGCCATCTTCTGTAACCAGACAAGGCCTCAAGTGGAGGGATTGGGACACCAACCCGGCCACAAAACCTTCAACCTACAGTTTGCCCTGCCTACAGAGTGTTCTGGGACAGGAGCCCAGGAGAATCCTCATCAGAGAAATCGATCGAAGACACTTCATCCAACAACCGATGGGAGCAGATGCCGAGACCCACAGCCAACTTTAGGCAGAGTTTGAGCAGTTCTGAGAAGGAGGGGGAGGAAGGATCTGAGGAACCAGAGGGGTCAAGATCACCATGAACAGAACCCACAGAATCAACTGCCCTGGACTCATGGGGGCTCCCAGAGATCAGGGAGCCTGTAGGCGGCAGACCTAGGTCGTCTGTGCATATGCTATGGCAGAGTAGCTTGGTGTTCTTGAGGGACTCCTAACAGGGGGAAGTAGAGGCTGTCTCTGACTTTTGCCTGCTTGTGGGGCCCTTTTCCTCTTACTGGGTTGCCTCGTTCAACCTTGAAGTGAGGACTGTGCCTGGTCTTATTGTCACTTGCAATGCTGTGTTTAGTTCTTATTCCCCGGGAGGCCGACTCATTTCTAAGGGGGACAAAGCGGGCAGATGTGGGTGAATCTGGGGGAAAAGGTATCTGGCAGGAGAGACTTGGGAGGGTGGGGGAAAAGAAGGGAAATCACAGGGGCTGTGTGTATGAGAGAAGAATGAAAGCCACAACAAAATAAACAAACAGAACTTTTCCCCTTTGGGCAAGTTATATAAACCACTAGGAACAGGAACTTGTTCCAAACTGGAACTAGTAAGCTATTTGTTGTGGAAATGATGATCCTAATGTTTTTATACTGTTTCTGCACTGACTGGCGGTAGGCTAAAACACACCAGAAATAACTCCTTAAAAAAATTCGACTTGCGAGTTTACCATGAGAAAAGCACTTGGCGAATTTATGTACACTGCTGCAAACTGTGCGGTAGAAGGGATCGCCGCTTGCTTTCTGAGGTAAGCGTGTTAAGTGCAGGACTCAGGGTACAGCTCTGCCTTTGCTCCTTTGAAAAGAAAGGAATCAGATGAACATCCTTATCAAATGAGGTGTCTGCCTGGGTGGGTGTGAGGTGTGGGTGTGGGGTGGGTCTGAGGTGAGTGTGAGGGGTGGGTGTGAGATGGGTGTAAGGGGTGGATGTGAGGGTGTGTGAGGGGTGGGTATGAGGAGGTGTGAGGGGTAGATGTGAGGGAGGTGTGAGGGGTGGGAGAGGGGTTTGAGGGATGTGAGGGGGTGTGTGTGGTGTGTGTGAGGGAGGTATGAAGGGTGGATGAGGGAGGTGTGAAGGATGAGTGTGAGGGGTGGGGATGAGGTGGGTGTTAGGTAGGTGCGAGGAGTGGGTGTGTGGTGAATGTGAGGGGTGGGTTGAGGGGTGGGTATGAGGTGGGTGTGAGGGGGTGTGAGGGGTGGGTGTGAAGGGGTGTGAGGGGTGAGTGTGAGGGGTGGTGTGAATGGGTGTGAGCAGTGGGTATGAAGTGGCTGTGAGGGGTGCTGCGGTGTAGGGGTTGACAGTGTGTACTCGGGAACTGGACCCTAGGTTAAATCTCAGTTCTACAATCCAGCTGCTGACCAGAGAAAGATTTTTAAGGAAATTCTTTCATTTTTTAAATTAGAAAAAACCCTGAGAACTAACTAACATTGATAACTTCTCACAACAGATAAAATGGGCGGTGATCTAAAGGCAATCTGCTGGCCAAGTAGCAACTCTCTTTTTTAGTGTTGCTGTAGCCAGGGACAGACTACGGTCAGAGATACCAGCCTCTAGCTTCCCGGACAGCTGGAGCTTTCAATGCACTTTCTAATGTCACTGAGTATATTTGGAAACATGAATTTCAGATTGTTTTCCTTTAAATTAGATTGCAATATTTGCCATTCACGATTGAATCAGTCATTTCAGGAGAGAATAACAGTATGCCTCATGGGATCCTTAACAAACATCTAGCTTACTTGATGAGTCAGCAAGGTCATTTATTAGTTTAGAAATGTTTACATGGATTACCAAAGAAACATTGTTTTGATATTTGTGAGGAGGTCAAAATAGTGACTTTCTTTAAGAAAATATGAAAGTATTCCTGAGAAAGAAAATGAGGTGGTTGAAAGTCGTCAGAGTGGGTGGGGTAAGCACACAGTTCTGGCCTCAGGGAGAATTCAGCTGACTGATCTCATTTTTAAATAGTACATGTTATGGAAAAAGAACAAAGTATAACATAACAGTACACAAACTCACAAAAAGGTTTCTGTACCCCTGGGAACAGAGTCGGTACTTTTCCCATTGGTACTACTTTTATTTGATGAGATGGTTTCAGGAAAAAATAATTATTTTTATAATAATGTTTACTTATTAATAGTTACTTAAAGTTTATGTGGATTAGAGCATACAGAACCATTTTTCTCACTTCTGATAGGCTCCCAGGCCTTGGGGGGAGTGGAGCTGCCTCACCCCCACCATTGGGGTCACTTTTGATTACACTGTTAATCAAGATGCTTCTCTTGTTACCGGCCGAGGCAAATGTGATTCTGCTTTATGGACATTGTTCTGGGCTGAGCCAGTCTCAGGGGCTGTCTGTGACCTCTGTCCCAGCTCCTCTCTCCCAACACCTGCATCATCAGCTGACAGCTGTGCTCCAGGTGTTAGCCTGGATCCTTCTTGTATGCTCATTTTATTTTTAACTCCCACATAGAGGTGGGGTTTGGGACTTGTTATATTTAAATAGCCCTGTTTCATCTTGGGTGTCATGGGTATTATAGTATCTGGGCAAAACGAGTCTTTTAACACAAACCATGAGGGCAGACGTTATGCCAGTTTTGTAAACAATGAGTCCTGGAAAATGGCTGGGGAAATACCACTGCAAAAACTGCCATTTTCTCTGAGCTTCCCTGGGTGTGTCCAGAGTTTCAAATTGGAGTACCTTGAAAAACCATTTAAACAGAATATCAAAGCAGGATATCCTTGGGCTGTTCTCACTGATAAGAAAAAAAGAAACCAAAGGCTTGGAAAAGGTAATACGCTAATTAGTTTACACATGAGTGTAAAGGTCTAAGGCAAATGTCTTTGGAATTATTAGTATTATTTTCCTTTGGTCCAGACCAGGGCTCTTCACCTAAACCTGTTTACTCCCCAAATCAAAGACTCGTTTTTCTTAAATCCAATACGAATATTTTATTTATTTTTGGCATCATTTCCCCGGCTAATAAAAACTAACAGTATAAATTGTTTTTAACCAAATCAAGAATCAGTGATGGAAATAAGTGTTTACTAGAGTGGATGTTTCCTGACTATTTAAACCCCACATTTTCTAGACACACACCATGCCCCTGGTCTGTGGCTCAACTCCAGGATGCCTGTTATGGCCTCATTATGGCCCCTCTTACCTTGAAATACTCTACAGTTCCCAGGATGGACCCATCTGAAGACTGAAGTTTTCTCTCCCTCCAAACCTCCTTTTACTTCCTTATGGTGCTTCTACTCTCGTTCCAGGGCTACAGTTTTCAAGGTTTGGGATGAAGCATAAGCTAAGTAAATGTGTCAAAACACGAAAACATCTTAAGCAATTTGTTTTCCTGTTATCTTCTCTCAGAGAACTGAGAGGCGCAGGCCACTAGCAATTCTCAGAGGCAATGCATTCTGGGGGAAGGAAGCTCCTGGCCGCAGATAGTTCCCTGCGAAATAACGTATCACCACACATTGAACTTATGTTTCCAGTATGACCTTTATTGAGCAAGGACTGATGTGACATTGAACATCGATCAACGTAAGGTTGCAAACTGTGCGGCCAGCAAGGTTCTCCCATGAGCAGAAGTCCGTTTTAAATGCACCAGTGAGGTAAACATAAGTATTCATATATAGCTTTCTTAAGGCTAAGAGAGTTCTGTTTCACTTATTATTTTTGGCTCAGTTGGTACTTTGCATAATACATCTCAAGACATCCCCCCAGTGCCCCTCTTCCAACAGTTTGGGAAACTGGCAAATTCCCCAGGTACATACATACAAATCATGCATTTGGATTCCCCCAAAGACTGAGGAGGAGGCACCCTGAGCTTGCATGCAGTTCCCTCTTATTGCACAAAGGAAAAATACAATGTCTGGAGCCCCCATGGGAGAACCCATTCTGTTTTGAAGCTGTCAATCACATGCATTTTGAAATTGTCGTATGGCTTAACCTTTTGCAATGGACTCAGATCTTAGTCACCCTGGGTGACTTCCTTGACTATGGCGTGTGAAGTGACTTTTTCTACCTTTTTAGTTGACACTAGTTTCTCCTCAAAGGTCTCCTCATGCTCTTCGACCTTTTGAGTGACGGTTACGGATTTGGTGATGTATTTGGTAGCACCATCGCCCCCCTCGCTGGTGATTTTTTCCACCTTCTTGGTCACCACCACTTTGTCCTCATCTCCTTTCTTTTCATCTGCTGGGCTCACATCTAACCCATTAGTGACCACCCCTTTCTCCTCGTCCCGCCCACTGCCCTTTTCCTGAGTTTCCTGCTCCTCCTCTTTGCCTTCCACCTCCCCATTGATAGCTATGTCTTCCTTCCTGGATTCCTGTGGGCTGCGGTCGCTCCCCTCCTCCTCACTCCCTCCCTCCTCCTCCTCCTCCTCCGCCTTCTCCTTCTCCTTCACTTTCTCCTGCTGCTGAGGCTTCTCCTCTTTGGTGTCTTTCTCCAGGCTCACCTTTACCGACTTGGTGATGGTGATCACCTCCTCCACAGCTTTCTCTTTCACCGGGGACTCAGCCTTCTTCTCTGGCACATCTTTTGGCTTTTCCTCCTTTTTCTCTACCTTCTCTTCCTTGGGTGCTTCCTTGACAACTTCCTTCTTTTCCTCCTTAACTTTCTCTTCCTCCTTCTGCTCGTCTTTCCCGGCTTTGGTTTCTGGTTTTGGCTTTACCTCTTCAACTGGTGATTTTGGCACAGGAGACTTGGCTTTCTCTTGCTTCTCAATCTTGATTTCCTCCTTGACAGCCACTTCTTCAACTTTTTCTTCAGATTTCTTTTCCTCCTTAGCTTCTACTTCCTCTCCTTCACCTTCTGCCTCAGTCTCTCCCTCTTCTTCCTGCTCACCTTCATCCTTTTCGCTGGAGCCTTCCTTCTCAGATCCTCCCTCTTCTGCCTGGTCTGACTTGGCACCTTCATCTTCCTCTTCTTCCTCCTCCTGGCCTTCTTCTTCCTCCTTTTCACCTTTCTCTTCTTCCTTGGCCTCAGGAGACTTCACAGGAGACTTCTCGGCTTCCTGTTCCTCTTCCTTCTCCTCTGCCTCTTCTTCCTTTTCCTCTTTGGCGGAGGCTGCCAGCTCCTCCGCGATAGCTGTGAGGGCGTCTTCCATTTCTGACTTCTCGTCTTCCACTTTTGTTTCCTCGATGATCTCCTCCACAAATTTGTGTTGGACCTTGAGCTTGGGAGCCTCGACTTTGGCCTTCTGAATCTTACTGGATATTGTGACCGAGGGCTGTCGGTGTGTGTACAGAGGCCCCGTGATGCTTCCAGAAAATGTGCTAAATCTGGTCTCTTCACCCTCCAGGAGTTTCCTAAGGAAGGAATAAAAGAGGATGAGATATCGTTGAAGACTTACATGGCTTTCTAAGTTTCATTACTGGAAGGGTAATGCACAGGTCACTTTAGAATAAATAGAGCACATAAGGAAAACATTCTGTCCACCACTGCAGTGCCTACTATCACACCATTGACATGTTATATCATGTGCAGTGGCAGAGTCTTTGAGAGTGCCAGCCAGTCCTCTGCTGCAGTATCTGCCACGCCCAGTAGGAAATTAGCCACACCCAGGCAGTATGTCCAGCTCTGCAGCAGTCAGTTGGTGCAGTATGGATGGACTCAGAAGGTCCCTAGTAGTCAACCCCTTTATCCCTCAGATTGTGGTCTCCCTCATCATTTGAACTGTCAAGATCTGTATGGATTGTTAAAGTGAATGAAATGTTCAATTTAAAAATTAAAACCATTGGACATAAATCGGAATGTTGATGACTTTAAATTATAGCTAGATGTTGATACAGATGAACCCAGTTAAAATTTGTTCTGCTGGTTCAGTGACAGAACATGTCTATTTGTACAATCATCTGATTTTCTTAAAAAGAAAGTGCAGTTTATTCTTTCTGTAAAGTCTTTACAGGAAATGATTGCTTTGTCAAGAACTGCGTGTCTTGAATCTGGTCAGCAGAAAGACAGCATTAATCAGGAGACCTATAACTAGTCTATTGATAAAGAGCTCAAACCTGTAACTGCTTATGCATTTAGTTTTATATGCTTCTATGCATACATGCTTGTATAGATCTCGATATATGAAAGTATCATATATGCTGTAGTCACATAGAATGCATATATATCATCCATAGACTTAAAATAAGTGTATCTATATTCTAATGCACCTATATCTAGTCTCAGCCAGATGATGGCAACAGTATGCTGTAAGAGAAAACCAGAGGGAGAATGACCTGGTGCTTGTCCTTGGCATTATAAAAGAGTTGGAATCATAAGATGAAATATTAAAAGTAAACTTAAAAATTACCCTGTCCCCACTTTGTGGTGCATTTTGGGCTTTTTAAAAATAATTATATTTTATCATATTCTTTTCCTTTCCCCAATTTCTCCCGGACCCTCCCCATATTCACTCTTTAAAGAGGAACAAAAGTGATAAATCTGCAATACTTAGGATTCAATCTCTTTGTAACTGAGCAGGGGGTCCAGGCCTCTGAGCCTCACACTGTCAGCTTTGGCCTAATGGTGAGTGTGTGTGGGGGTGGGGTGGGGGGGGGAGGCTGTGAACCAGCAGCCTCTGCAGTGCGGACAGCGCCTGAACCAAGTCTGTAGAGAGCCTCTACCTGTATGCGGCGATCTCGATGTCTAGGGCCATCTTGACGTTGAGGAGATCCTGGTATTCTCGCAAATGACGAGCCATCTCCCACTTTGTTCCCCGAAGCTCATTTTCCAACTGCTGGATGGTGTCCTGAAAGACACAGTGAGTCTCCAGAAACTTCCTTCACAAGACACTTGCTATCCCACTCCCCGAGCTTTTTCCACACCCCCCCCCCCGCCCCCGCCACCAGCTCCATAAGTCTAAGAGATATCACTCTTAGCCCCTGCCTCTTTTCTTTTATGGTAACGGAATTCAAAACAAACCAACAAAAATCAACCGGAGGTTTCCCAGGCACTACGGACAGGGAGATCAGTAAGCCTAGAACGCCCCCAAAGGGAACCCTCGGGTTGGGAACCTGAGGAAGGTCCTGATTGGACCTGGCCCTCCATCCCCACCCAAACTCTGGACTGAAGCCAGTTTTGAAAGCTTGGTCCCAGCGCAGCTGCGGCGGCGGGAGGGGAGGATACAAGAGACTATCGTATTTCTGCTTATTAAATGACGTATTTCTTGATTACCGGAATGTACCTCTGACTTTAAAAGTAGAATCTGTCGTAGGAAAGCAAGTTTTTGAAGGAGATGGGGATTTCTAAGCAGTTGAAGCAGGTGGGTGGGGCAACGAGAAAGGGCGGGGCAAGGACCCTGGGCCACAGCTAACTAGGGTCTGCCGCGCTGCGCTCGTGCGCGTTGGCGAGCTGCCACCAGGGAGCGCGACCAAGAGGGCGCTCTCGAGAGTGTCGTGTCGGGGGCGCGCGGCGCTGGCGCCGGCCGGCCGCGCAGCCGCGGTTCCTACCTGGTAGCTGCTGAGGTCGTGGTTGTGGCGCTCCTCTATGTCGCTGAGCTGCCGCTCCAGAGACTCCTTAGTGCCACGCACGGATTCGAGCTCGATGCTCTTGGACTGTAGCTGGCGCCGGTATTCGGCGATCTCTTCCTTGGCGGAGCGGATGGCCTCCTTGTTCTGCTCGGCTGCCTCGGTGAGCTTGGCGTAGCGGCATTTGAACCACTCTTCGGCCTGGTGCATATTCTGGTCTGAGTGACACTCGAGCTGGGAGCGGATCTCCTTCAGGGCCGTGGAGATGTCTGTCTTCAGGTAGTCTTTGCGCTCTACCGTGATGTGCGACGCCTGGATCTGAGCCAGCAGGTCGGCCACCTCCTCTTCGTGATTGCTTCGCAGGAAGGCCACCTCATCCTGCAGCGACTGAACCTTCTTGTCCAGCTCCACCTTTACCATCGAGGACTCCTCGATGTCTTTGCGCAGAGCGCGGATGGCAGCCTCCGTGTCGTCGCGCAGCCGCGCCTCCTCCTCGAAGCGCTCCTTGAGCCGGTGAATGTCTTCCTCCAGATGATCGGAGTCCAGCTGCACCTGCGCCTTCTCGTGGTTCACCATCTCGAGCGTGGCTCGCAGCTCTCGGATCTCCTGGTCGTAAGCATCACCCAGCTGGGCATGCGAGGCCTGTTTCTGCCGCAGAGCCTGGATCTCCGCCTCGATCTCCTTGTTCTGCTGTTCCAAGTAGTGCACTTTCTCGATGTAGCCGGCGAAGCGGTCGTTCAGTCCCTGCAGCTGCTCTTTCTCATTGGAACGGGACAACTTGTAGTCGCCTCCGGAGCCGCCGTTGAGCAGCGAGGAGGACTGGCTGAAGTCGAGGCTGCTCTCCGCAGAGCTGAGCATGGCCGAGCTATAGGCGAGGCGCGGGGCGAGCGCGCTGCGCTTGTAGGAGGAGGACACGGTGCTGGGCGAGCCGCGGGACCAGGACTGCGAGCGGAAGCCGCTGGACGGGGACCCGCTCACGCGGCTGAAACTGGAGCGGGTCTCGGTGACCCGCCGGTAGGCGGACGGGTTGCCCAGGGAGTCCAGCGTGTAGCTCATCTTGGAGGACTTGGGGTGTGTGGCTGTCACAGCGTTCTGCCGGCCTCGCCGCAGCCCCTTTATAGCCGAGCAGCTGGTCCCGGGCCAGGGCCCCGCCCCGTGGAGGCGGCGGTCGAGGAGGCGGGGACTGCGGGCACCGGGCCGGGGTGGGGGGAAGGGGGAGATAAGCCCTGCGGTGATTCAGCGGCCGCTCTGCGCTCCACGTGGGCCCGCGCCACAGTGGACCCCGCACTTGGGTGCAGCCCGGCCGGTCCTTCTCCAGCGTCCCCTTGGGTCCCAGACCACTTGTCACCCTGTAGATCTCCCTTTTCTGCGTTTCTCCTGCAGTTTGCAGTTCATAGCCTTGGTGCAAGTGCCGACCCAGCGCCCTTTCTTTGTCTAGTCACTCTCCGGCCCTTTGGGCAGTTTTTCTCCGGCCTCCTGGCTCTTCTTTGGTCCCCTGCCTCTTAGTTTCTTTCTTCCGTACTTTTGGCCTTAGGCTCTGCTGTTCTTTGTCACCCCCCCCCCAACTCCCCTTGCGGCCCTTCCTCTCCCCCCAACCCCCTCTCTTTTAGTTACCACCCAGCATTTCCCTTGCAGCCCATGCCCATGGAACTTTTTTTCTTTGCCGCCTCGTCTTTCATCCCTTCCCTCCCTCTCCCACACTTTTTTTTCCACCCCCACTCTTTCTTATCGCCCTTGTCAGTCCACCCTTTCCTTCCCCTCCCCCTTGTCTTAAAGCAGGCAGAGAAGAGCCAAGAGTTACGCAGAAGAAAAAAGAGAAAGAGAATTTTTGAGGAATGGCCGATCTGAAATCTCCTGGAAAGGGACAAAGAGGACAGGTCGGGGTATTCATTTGTGTTAAAAGTGAGATGTGACGCTCCAGTCTGCTTAACGGTTGGGGAATCTCGGCAGCTTCCAGCAGGTAAGGCGCAGGAGCGCCCAAGGATCCGGCAGCACCAAGGACAGCGCCCAGGCGGGGCCCTGGGATGCTGCTGGGTTTCCGGCCTACCAGAACTCAGATGAGGGTCACTTTTGGCTCCTCTCCCCCAGTGAATACTAAACCTGTTTGTAGTGACTGTTTGTTTGTAGGAGCCAAGCTGGAGATTCCACGCGAAGACTTCTCTGCAGTGCAGAGTTGGCACAATGAACAGACTGCAGATTTTGAAAACAACTGAAATTCATTAAACTCAGTTAAGGGAAATAGAGACTTGAAACCCAGTTTGACTTTACCCACAAATGATGGGTACTGGGAGGAGACACAAGGCCTGAAATGTGAAGGTCAACTTTTCCTTAGGAAGGGGGATTTGAAATCCGAGATGAAAAACCCAGGGAGAGAGACAGTACGATAAGTTTGAAAAATGCCCTGTCATGGTTCTGTCTAGGCACTACTTTTGTGTGCTATAACTATTGACAAGGGCACTCAATTAGCTTAAAACTAACTGAAAGGTTACAGAACAGATTCATTCCAATTTCAAATAAACCAGGTATTCCCCCTTCCTTTTAAAAAAATGGAATATGCTTCCCCAGGTAGATTTTGATGGCTGATTTGGCATAAGCCAACCATCTTTTCAGCCTGTTTATTTAAGCAGACATTCTACAGGGTTGTATAGTTTTACACTGTGTAGTTGGTTGTGTGTTTTAAGTGAGAAAACCCTTCTGCTTTGGATTGAGTTTTGGGGAAATTCAGAGTGAGAGAGTTCAGAGTCCTGCCAGACAAAGTGAGGCTGGGAAGCAGTGCTGGAGCTGAGGACCGCACCAGGAGGGGCTTGCTGTGGGTCAGAAGCAGAGACAGCAAGCTGAAATGCCTTCTTTCTTGGCGTATATTTTCTAATCGCCTCTTCGTTATGAGATGGGGTTGTATAAATCAGTAAGGAGTCACAGATGACTTTCTCTCTGGAGACTTTAATTTTGTAGTTTTATAAGCTCTTGGCGTGTGCGTTTTAAGGTAGAAGTGAGATTTTAAAAGGGAAAAAAGGGTTCCTTTGGGGAGTTACCTTTGGTTCTAGAATGTGAAGCTGCAGCATTGCGGGCTGCAGGCTGCGGGGGTAGAGAGTGAGGGGGTTGGGTATGAGGCCCCTCTGATTTGCTGAGTGTTGGTTACTGCTTAAGTAGCAAGAGCCCAGGTCACTGAGAGGGGCACTCCACAAAGTGGAGGACTAACTTGCAAATAACGGTAACACCCAGATTTGTTGATTTCCTACGGAAAGATAAGTGAAAATGAAAACTCCGTGTGTCTCTCAAACGTGGGCTAGCAGGGTGGGACCGCAGCCGGATGCTGTCTAGATACTGCCGCATCCTACCAACGCAGCATTTATGCGTTACTGCCTGCATTTACTAAGATGTAGAAAGCCGCAGGCAGCATCTTCCTCTAGGCTCACGGGGAGAGCTCTCTGCATTGACAACACATGGGTGACAAACAGGCTTCAGCTGCGAGTTTTCTGCGGGGCTTTGGCAATGAGATGACGCTGCAGAGACATTTACAAGGAAACACATGTTTAATTTTACAATCATCCGGTTTTTGCCTCATATCTAAACTAGCTAAAAGAAAATTGTTAAACATGCAACCGGTTATAGAGAGGAAAATAATACTTGCAAAGTCATGGCTGATTACTTAGGCTAAAGCTGGTGCCTGTAGTTTAACACTGTAGTTCCAGTGTCACCAGAACTGTTGATCAGTCTGGGCTGTTAAGGGACACTGCAGGGACTTATAAGTCCCTCTGTTAAGGGGAAATTGTGCCAATGGTTTTAACACTATTGTTTCAGTCCACCACAGCCTTCCACTTTAGACTTTGCTCTTTCATTTCTGACTTGCTCCTGAAGGTGATTTGAAGGTTAAACCCTTCATTCAATCTCTTTATTATTATTGCTTTTTTTTTTTAAAGGGCTATAGTAACTAATCTTTGCTTTTCTGTCTTGGGTTTTTGAAGAAAATTTACCTCCTTGATGTTTTACATAGAAAGAAATGTTTTTGCCTGTTTTTCCCCCTTGGCGACACTGTAGCCATGAGCTGGGACATGCCAGCACCAGTGGGGTGCCAGTGAAGGGTTGTCTGAGTTACCACACTGCAGGGCTGGCATTGAGTTTACTACAGCACTTTTGCGGTTTATTCTAAAGAGGCAACCTCCACATATGATACAGATATAAGAGTTTAAATGACCTTATCTCTGAATTGTTACGTAAAATACTGTCTGTTTTGAATCACTTTTTTTTTTTTTTGAGAATGCAAGAACATCTTTCTATTTCTGCATTCCTCACTAGGACACATTCGAATGTTGAGTTGAGGGAGAATCATTGTGAGGTATTTGTGGGTCTGTGTAATGAAGATGGAAATACAGTTTTTGCATACGACGTTAATTTATCGGGTCATAAGTAAAGATGTATATTTTCAAATGAATCAAGTGTTTTTCTCCCTTTTTCTACTTTCTTACTTTTCGAATTTTAATACACACACACACACACACAAACACACACGAATGGAGGATGGCTCTGGAAAGGAGGAAGAGGAAAGAGAAAGAAAAGAAGGGAGGGAGAGAGGAGAAGGAGGCAGCCACACTGCCTAGTTGGTAGGTTGCATCTGCCTCTGGTGAGATCCCACAGCCTGCTGCGACCTGAGTCTCATCCTGTTGCCTGGGATCTGCTTCTAGAACCTGTAATGAAAACTTGTTTATGGCCTGCCCTTTGCTAATTATTAAAGGGGTGGTTGATGTGAAAGGTCCAGAACACTGTCTGCCAGGAAGGAGACTCTGAGGGAGTAGAAAACCAGACTACTTATTTCTATTTGAGCCTCCGATGTCAGACTTTATAAACAGACCACACTTGTTCACTTGTTTCAGCTGCTGAAAGAAATGTAATAATGTCCTCGGGAGAGAAAGACTGTCCTTCCCCGCCAGGACAATTGGGTCATATGTATATGTTGCTATTGTTATAAATCAGAACAAACCCATCTGGCCCGGCATCCCTTTTCTGATAGTGAGTCACTGACTGTATGCTTACTTCTCTTAGTGAATATTTATACATTGAATACAATATTGTATTTCTGACAATTACTACCATTATAACGTTAAACTGAAGTCTTCCAAAATCTTAAACTATTCCATCTTTATGTTTCCTAGACATGAAATAAATCAGCTGAGCAATTTTCTCTGTGGAAATTTCATGTTTTCTGGGGAAAGCTGTGGCTTTCGGCTTAAACCTGGTTGGCTGGTTTTCCTTTTTTGCTGTGTAATGCCGCCTCTCTTCTGAGAATTGTTTCCATGAAAGGCAGAGCAAGGAGACTTAGGCTTCATAAAAAAACAAAACAAAGCAAAAAACCCACCAGAGCTTTGTTGAGAGGAATTCTAGGGGTAAAGCACAGAGGAGTTGAAAAAATAATATTATATTAATTTGCAGCATGTTTTTAATAGCCAACCTGGCTGTACCTCAGTTAGGACAGTTCTTGATGAGGTGTGATTGAACTCTTAAAGCTGTAGCGCCTGCGATTTTGCCCCAGGGCAGCCCTGTGACAGTGAATCTTCATTCAAACTTACTGTGACTTAGTGAGACAGGATACTCTTATTGGTGACATTTCATTAGGACTTCTTTGTAACCATCAGAGGTCTGCAATTCATGGTTTTGGGATCAGATTTCTGAGAAGAACTCAAATTCAGGGATATATATTTAAAAAAATCTCATCTAATAAATAGTCATCATTTCAAAGATGAGTTCTTTTCTTCGGTCTTGACTGTCCAACAAAGCAGTATTCCCTCACAGATCCCTGCAGACAGCTCACGAGCAGAACCCGGATGCCCTTTTGATTGTCAAGGACATCACAGATTTAAAACTATTTTATTCATTGGTTGTGTGTAAAATAGAAATTTACAAAATGCAGAGAGACAATGATACATCTTTTATTCTAGTTCATAAATGAATCCAAATACATTTGTTTATGTAATAGTATGCATAACTTCAAAACAAATGGAAAATACAGTGCCGTGTGCCATGGAACCTGGGTTTGAGCCTTGCATTTAAGCCTGCACTTTCCAGTCTAAATAAAAATATGATTATAGATTCTTTAGAGCAAAAAGGAGCACGCAGAGCAGAGGAGGGGGCCCCGACTGGAATCCCAGCATTCGAGTGGTGGAGGCAGAAGTATCCAGGAGTTTACCAGCCTGAGCTACTTTAGTCTTTGCCTCAAAAAACAAGCAGAAATAAATACAAACAAACATCAAAGCATGGAAACAGAAGCAGTCGGCATTGCTGGTCAGGAAAGCATGACTGGGTTTCATATTTTCTTATCTGCCTCTCACTTGCTGAGGAGAACACCACTGTGAAGCTGAAGGCTGTGCCTGGTGAGGCCTGTGGTGTGGCTGCCGCAGGTGACATGTAGCCTGACCTACTAAACTGGGAGTTCTCTGTTCCTTTCTACTTAACGGAAGGAAACCCCAGCAATAGCACCGACAGGCTTTCGCAGGCTCTACAGAACTTTATATTAGAGATGAAACAACTCAGATCTTGTAGTGTAGGCCTGTGATCTCAGCTACTCAGTACCCTGCCTGAGGCAGGAGGATTGCAAGTTCCAGGAAAGTTTGTTTCAAAAGGAAAAGTAAGAAGGAGGGTGGAGCTGCACCAGTGGTGGGCTGCTTCCTGGTCAACTCATGTATCCTCCCTGAGGATGCTAGGTTCAGTCTGCAGGATGGGCAGCACCAAGCTGAGCCCCCTCCCTCCAAAATGTGTTCTCCAGGAGGCCTAAGCACTGGGGCGGACCGCAAGTGATTCTTCACATTTACAGCTGATCAGACTGACCGAAAGAGTTGTTCATGGCCACACATCTGGGAAATGGTGGCTCTGGGACCAGAGCTAGGGTCTTCTGTCTAGTTGATTCAGTATCAACATTGCAGAACCCTGTCAGTAGAGTGCCAAATTTGGCCTCAGACAGGAACTGTCAACATAAAGGGAACATCGCAAAGAGACAGGCCATGGTAATATCATAATTATATGGTTATCATAATTAATAGCCATTTAAGTGCTTCCAGTGTGCTAAACATTTTGCTGAAACTTCCCTGAATTTTCTTATTTAATCAACACAATTTTCTTAGATGACATTATTCCTATTATTCTCATTTTGTAGAAAAAGCAATCGAATACAGAGGCACAAAGAAGGTAAAGTACACACACGTCTGGAAGGCGCTGAAGGTTTAAAACGAGAAGTCTGACTTTAAAAGCAGATCCTCGCCAAGGTCATCAGGAGGTCATTGGACCCAATTCTAGAAATAATCTCACATTTTAAAGATCTCCTATTATCGCCTATCTGTCATGACATGTTAAAAATACCCAGGACATAGTATACACATATTTCTTTCCCGTTTCTGAAATTTACATAAAAGACTTTGTTTTCTCAGATGAGCACTTCTGTTTTATATGTGACTTTATTAAAGACATTAAAACAAACCTTGAACCACTTGTCTTTTTTACCCTAAATGGATTTTCTACATAGTCTGAAGGTCATTTAATTCACTGACTCTAGTCTGTGCTCTTTGTGTAAGACCCCAGTCTTACATTTGCATATGCTGTGTTTTTTTTAAGTTTATATGTGTCTTTCTAAAACATTTATTTTATGTACATTAGTATGTGTGAAGGTGTTAGGTCCCCTGGAACTAGAGTTACAGACAGCTGTGAGCTGTCATGTGGGTGCTGGAAC